TCTTTCTCTTTGCACTTCTGTTTTTGCCTAATGTGCTTTTACTGTTGCAAGACACATATTGTTTTGTGGGGTTTTTTTTGAGAATTGACCTTTTTATTATTAAGAAATTGTTTATCATAAAAAGATTATTATCTGTTACATTAAGTAAGAAAGAAAAGTGTTTGTTTACCTTCACTTTTTCTCTGATACTCTTCCTTTTCTCATGTAGTTTCCAGTTTCTGACCTTAATAATTTTCTTTTTCTCTAAAATTTCTTTTTATATTTTTTGCAAGATAAGCCTGCTGGCAATACATTTTCTCAAATTTTGTTTGTATTATCAGGATTTTCTTTTTTTAGCTATTTATTGGCTAAGCTGGCCATAGAACTCAGGTTTCTGTACTGTGTCCTTACTTTAAGTTTTGTATGCTCTTTCCTTCTTCTTTCCACATTTATGTAACTTTAGTTAAGAATCACTGTTCAGTATATCATGGAGCTTCGTATAGCAGTGTGGTACTTGTGTGTAAAATGAAGTCGAGGTTGGTCTACGTGATGTCTAATGCTTCTTTTAGCACTAATAACCTCTGATCCCAACAGTGTCTTAAATTTTATCATGAGCATGCTAGTTATATGTGTGCTTAATGTATATTAAAATTTTTAAAGTAATACATATTTATTATATTCTAGATGTTCTAATAATACATTAGATAACATGAAGAAGAAAGAAAATGATTCTAAACGGAAACGATCACAGCACTTGGTGTATTTCTTTCGAGGGATTTATATTTTTCTATAAAATTACTATAAATGTGTAAATTTATGTAAGTATGTATATAAATATGTACAATGTTTTTTACATGTATTTATTTCTCCAGAGAGAAAGGAACAGATACTCCCAACAAGATATTCATGCCACAACCCACCCCAGTTTTAGCCAGCCCCAATCATAGGCGCACATGTATCTAATATAGACCTGGAGACCGTGGCCGCGAACCTGGGACCTTCCCATTTGGGTTAGGCATCACAGAACACTGTGTTCCCTCTGTGCCACTGCAGCTGGCTCTCTACAGTGTTAACAATATGCCAGGTACCCAGTCTTTCCTGAAATTATATAGACGTGAATAACAGTAAACTTAATATGTGTAAAACTAAACTTCCACTCTTACTGCTATTGCATTGTTCTTCTTCATCTTTGCCTCTTTTTCCATGGTTCCCCCTTTCTCTCACTTTCTACAGCAAATTGGTTATCAGTGCTTGCTGTACTCATTGATAAATGTCTCTGTATCCCTTCTTTTATATTCCTGTGGCCACTGCTTCAGTGGAAGCCCTTTATCATCTCTGTCTTAGCTGTGAAGGAGCTTCTCAACAGTTGACCCTCTTTCCATTTATTTTCTTCCTTTGGTCCATTTTGTGTACTCTTACCAAAGTTTTCTTTTTAAAACAAAGAACAATTCCTGTCACTCCACTAATTAGAAACCTCTTTGCACTCTCTTGCGCTATAGGATGTCTGACTTGCTAACCTAGGATACAGGACTCTTCACTACCAAAGTGAGGGTAGCACTTGTTTTCAGCCACTTTTTGGACCCTGAAGTCTGTTGTCATGTTGTCTTAAATTCAGTATTCTTCTACCATTTCATGTAGTTTCATGTCAAGGGCCAGAACAGAGCCTGGTCCATGGTAAGTACTCAGTACACTCAGCATATATTGAATGAATAAACAAGTGACAGTGGCTGTGTCCTACATCTGTGATCCTTCCCCCTTTCTGCCTAGGGTTCCATTCAATGTTTAGACCTCAAAAGGAGAAAATAGTAGTGTAGCTTGGATTATGCCTTAGGAATTCAGAGGTGGTTCTAGACTATGATTTTTTTTTTAAGAGAGATTTTTGTCGCAGGGTTTATGCACTCACCAGAGAGACAGAGAGACAGCGAGAAATCAGCCCCCTACCCCCCAGGGTAGATTGCCACTCCACAATCCCTTTTTGGAGACACACGCACACGTACCCAGCATGAGTTTCAAGCTGCCGGGTCTGGGATTCAGACTGTGGTCAGCCACGTGGGAGTCTAGTGCCTCAACTACTATCCCACCTGCTGCCCTGAATTTTAGAGAGCCTTGTCTGATCGTATGATAATTTCCAAAACTGTAATGAACATACAGTTTAAAAGCAAATTCAGGTGTTAATTCAGGAGACTTATACTTGTTGTAAAGTCATTTCACTCTCTGAAAACACATTAACTTCCGTCGCAAAATGAAATAAAGTAAAGGCAAAAATAATGAAATGGAAAGCAATAGTGTTTTATTTCCACTTGATATTTATCTATTTATTTTTCTCTATATTTGCGATAGAACACATGTGTGCACATGGGAGAAACAGAGAGAGAGAGACAAGCACTCTCCACAGAGTCTGGTCATGCCATGACCCCCTTTCTCCAGTCCTCCAGCCCGTAGGATCTCAGGAGCTCACATACGTGCCCAGTGGACTCTGGGCTTACCTGGCTGGGGGTTTCAACTGCCGTCATCATGTGGGATCCAGTTCCTCTTGGGCAGCACATTCTCACTGCACCATGGAGCTGACCCATGTTTCCACTTGATTTTAAAGTTGCCTTTAGAAGATAATCATCATTTTATAAATTTATAATGTAATATTTATGACAAATCTACTTAAAAAAAAATCTCAGGATCTTTTAAAATACTTAAAACTATTCCATAGTAAGTAAAGGGAAGTACCACTTACTATCACTCTGATCTTAGCCCAGACATCTCTTCCTAATTGTGAAGGAGATTATGTTATTTTAGGAACAGGCTCCAGTGGTGGCTGCAGTATCACCAGCACATGTTTAACTACTGGATCTGTTACTGAATCTTCCTGTCATCTCAGGCTGTCATGATTAGACTACAGCTTCAGTTGAAAGCCTGCAAAAAAAAAAAAAAAAAAAAAAAGGAAGGAGAAGCTTGTAGATATAACCCCAGAAGAAGAGAAATGGGAAAAAGCAGGTCGGAGGGAAAAAAGAAGGGCAAGACCCTTCCTGGCTGCAAGGAGGATGAGACTTAAGCTGAAATCCTCTCCGCTTTCCCTTGGAACAGTATTCTCAGCTGTCCTGGTGGCAGCTGTTCTGGAAGGCACAGCGGCTCCTAGCGGAGATGTTGTCACTGATGGCTTGCTTAGTGTTACCCTCTTTGCACTGCCTCCAGAGGGTAATTTGTAGCTGTACCAGTGTTGAGCCCATAGGGTGTATTTTATCCTTGACTGTGTGAGAAAGAACCGTTTTTCAAGGTTCTTGTGTAAGGACCTGTAATTTTATACTTTGTAGCGTTACACAACTAGTGTTATGGCTCATGGAATATGTTCTTGGCTACCTTTTCAGCTCTGCTTGGCATCTGGGCCTACTGACTTGTCTTTAGTTAGATTGATCCTTCTAAAGGAAGAATTCCTTCCTAGTATGTTTCAACCTGCTGAAATAAATTCATTACCATAGCCTCCCTCTGGCACTTAAGGGCCTTGGCATCAGACAAATGTCTTAACTTTCTTTTTCCTCAGGCAGAACTCATAAACTTGTGGCCCGTGGGCCAAATTCAACACCTAGATGTTTTTTGCCAGATTTGCAAAATGGGAAGCTTTTTTTCTTTCAACGAATAAGCACTTAAAAAATTGGAATTTTACATTACTTTGTGGATTTTTGACTTTTCTTGGGAAATCAAAATGTGATGAACGCTGGTCTTGAGTTGCAGCTTCAGCTGGACGCATATTCTTCTGCTTACCGAGCTTCCGCCAGGCCTAACATTGACTTCGTGATTCTTGGAGTAGTGCCTGTACATGAATTAAAATTAAGTTTTAAATACCGTTTTTTAATTTCAAAAGTAAATATGCTATCTAACTGTTAATGATTATTTCCTGAATAACAAATGTAAAACGCATGCCACATACAGGAGGTAGGTGGTCACGTAAAATCATTACTATTCTTCTGTGATTAATTCTCACAAATAGAAATTTAGTACTTCCATTAGTTTATGCCAAAGTGCACACACAGCACACCATACACAGATTAAAGATGAGTAGAACGTACACATCTGTGCTCACAGTTTTCTAAAAAATATGTTTGAAAAAAATGTTGTAAGAAAACAAGAGTAGACTACAGTATATATTCAGTCATACCTAAAGTGAATCCAATATGTGAAAAGACTCTTGAAAGTGAGTAGCAATTAAAGAAGCTATTTATTTCTTTGAACTTTAACTTTTGGAAAAGAAAGAAAATTAGAAATCCAGGTGGTTTAAAAATATTACGAAACAAGAACTCATGTTCAGACTGATAATCATGATGAATAGCCCTTTATCATTATTATCTTAATGTATATTTGAATTTATGTTGAAAGAGTAGTCACACTCACTAAACCTGAATCAGAAGGCGTTTTTTGCAGGTGGTCAGTACTAGAGATGAAGTCAGTTGCTTTCTTGGAGGCCGGTTTTCCCCTCGCCCTTCTGGAAGGCTTTGCACACAGTCACTGGCCTGCTCTCCCAAGTCCTTGGACCTTTGAGATGGGCTCTGGACCATTTCCCCCCAACACACACACCACCCTCCCCTACCAAGCATAGATGCCTGCAGCTCCCCTACAGGAAGGAAAGGGAGAAAGAGAACGCTGAAGGGCATAACTGGCCTTTTTTTTTTTTTTAACTTCATTCATTTGTTTTATGAGAGAAAAAAAGAGAGGCACCCTCACTGGGAGCCCCCGTCAGCCTCAGCCAGCCTGGTTCACAGGCGTGTGTGCACCCAGTGTTTCCAGGGGACCTTGGGGCCTCCCTGTGTGGCCTTAGCACCGCAGAGCACTGTCGTGCCAGTGTGGCTGGCAATGGGCTTTTAAAGAAAAATTCTATTTAGATTTTATTATTATTGCTACAAAATGTAAATGTACAGCAAGTTGACTTTTAAAAATTTCTTTGTTATCACTTTGTTCTACTTAACCATATTATGGCTTTATGATGAATTATATACATATATATATAAAACTAACAAGTACCTCTTTACATTTAGGAGTCTCCAAAAAATGTGGAATCCTTCGCATCCATGCTGAGACATTCTCCTCTTACACAGATGGGACCTGCCAAAGATAAACTGGTCATTGGGCGAATCTTTCACATTGTGGAGGATGATCTTTACATTGATTTTGGTGGGAAGTTTCATTGTGTGTGTAGAAGACCACAAGTGGATGGAGAGTAAGTAGAATTATTTACAAGTGCTTTAAGGAGTTATATTTTACAGATAGTTTTGTTGAGGTATTTCTTAATATATCAAATTTGTTTTAGATTGCAGATATTAGTAATATACATCTTTGTTTTTATTATTTACAGATAGAACCTTAAAAATATTCCTTTTACAGGTATTTATTTCTTTGTAGTTTTTTTATTTTTCCTCAAGTTTTTGCCATAGAGCATGTGCCTTCATCAGAGGGAACCAGAGAGGGAAAGTGAGAAATCATCGCCCTGGGAGCAATGGCCACACTGCAGTCCCTTCTCGTCCGATCTCCTGCTGGGATTTTGGGCACACGTGAACACACACCCAGCGTGATTTTTAAGCCACTAGGTCCAGGATTTGAACTGCGAGTGACCATGTGGGAGTCTGGTGCTATAACCACCATGGCACTTGCTGGCCCCTGTAGATACTCTTTTATCTGCACTGTCCTTTTTTCTCATTTAATTAATTTTTTTAAGGTTTTGCCATAGGACATATGTGTTCACCAGAGGGAAACACAGAAACAGAGAGAGTGCGGGAAGTGAGAAGCATGCCCCTTGGGGGATAGCCATACTGCTATCTCCTCTCCTTCATTCTCCTCTTGGAATTTTGGGCACACCTGCACACATGTGCCTGGCAGTCAGCCATGTGGAGTCCAGTACCTTAACCACCATGCCACCTGCATCATGGTTAATTATATATTTTTTTGGAGAGGTTTTCGCTATAGGGCATGTGCGCTCTCTAGACAGACAGAGAGAGACAGAGAGACAGAAAGCGAGAAATCACCCCCCGGGGGGATGGTCACGCCGCAATCCCTTCTCCTCCATTCTCCTCTCAGGATCTTGGGCACGCACACACACGCGCCTGGAGTGAGTTTTAAGCCACTGGGTCCGCGGTCGACTACATGGGAGTCCAGTGACATAGCCATGGGAACTGCTAGTTCCCATTAATTATATTTTTAAAACATCCATTTTGTCATCATAATATGATCTGAACATACTACTTCAGTTTAGCAGGCATTATTCTTTTTTTTTTAAAGAATTATTTTATTTGACTTTATTTATTTATTTATTTTAATTTGACCAGAAAGGGACGGAGTGAGAGAGAGAGAAAGAGAGGGAAAGTGAGAAAGCAAGCCTTCAGATGTGGAACTCGAACCACAGTCGACCATGTGGGAGTCTAGTGCCCTTAACCACCATACCACCTGTCTGTCCTGGCAGGCATTATTCTAAGAGCCCATAAACAAGACAAATTCTCTGCTCTCATGAAGTGCCTATTCTAACGAGGGAGGAAGGAATAGATAGTGAATAAATGCGTAGGTCAACTTCAAATATTGATAATTACACAAGAAGGGATAATTTGGTGTTAGAGTGCCTGGTGAGTAGAAGGTAACAGTAAAATCAGAAAAGGCCTTTCACCGCTACTTCTGTTGCTATAAACCTCAAATACTAACAAAGTACCTTTTCTTAAACAATTTTTACAGAGTTTACTTCTATTTCTATTTAATAGAGGATAAGATACAGAGACAGAGACAGTGACTATCCTGGGATCTACCCCAAGTTTCAGTCAACCCTGGATTGTGGGCACATGTGTACCTAGTGTCCACAGGGAGGTCCCAAGATTCAAACCTGAGACCTTCACATGTGGGTCAGCCTTGTAGCGCTTCATGTTACTGCTGTGCCATTGTCCCCCTCCCCCTTTTTTTTAACGATAAAGAAGAGTCAACTCTGTTCTGCTCTAGTCCTTCAGAGTAGTAATGTAATTTCACTGGCCTTTTAGACATAATGTCTCAACTTTTCTCACAAAAATTTAGAAAATAGATGGTATCCCCTCTCACCAAATGAATGAAAGAATTTTCAAGCATAATCACACAGCTAGTACAGCAGGGATTTAGAACTATGAGTGTGTGTATCCAAACCCTATGCATGTTCTTTTCACCTTGCTGTGTTGCTCTGTACACATGAAACATGTAGTTATGTGAGACTTAGGAAGCACTGAGGAGTCTGTTAGACAGTGGTAGGTTGCCTCTCATACAGCACCCTCGGTTTTGGTGTCTGTGGTTGCTGTGCCCTGGATGTTCATGTCCCCCTAGGATTCATATGTTAAAAATAATCACCAGTAGGACCAGCAGATGGCATAATGGTTACATCACTGGACTCCCACATGGTCAACTGTGGTTTGAGCCCTGGACCTGGCTGCTTAAAACTCACACCAGGCTTGTGTGTGTGTTTGACCCCAAGAGGAGAAGTAGGAGAATTATCGGATAGCGGTGTGGCCATGCCTCCTGAGGGGTCATTTCTGTCTCTTTCTCTCCATTGAGCACACATTCCCTACAGCAAAAAATCTCCCTAAAAAATAAATAATAATAATCTCCAGTGAGACGCTGTTAGGAGTTTGGGCTTTTGGACAGAGATCTGCTCTCATGAATAGGATTAGTGCTCTTATAAAAGAGGCTACAGAGATCTGCCTTGCCCCTTTGATCATGTGAGAAGGTGCCATGTATGAACCGGGACTTGGCCTTGACCAAACACCGGATCTGCTGGCACCTCGATCTTAGACTTCTCAGCCTCTACAATTGTGAGGAATAAATTTCTGTTGTTTACAAGCTACCTACTTTATGTATTTTTATTTCCTTTAGTAATCTGAACTAAGATGATAGTGTGGCATGTTAGAATCATGTTCCTACTAATAAGCGAAGCACTAGCAGGCCTGGGCTTTGTTTTGGAATGGATCTGTATCATAATTATGATGAGTGCTCTAGGCACTGGTTGACGTTTGATAGTGGCTAGTTGCTTAAAGTCATCATGCCTTGTGTTGTTGGAAATAATATATTTCAGCAAAGTTTATTCTGCAAATAATAGTAGTTCTTTATACACGTAATACTTAATTTTTAATTCTTTGGTTATTTTATTTTTTTTATTTTTATTTTTTTTTGGAGAGATTCTCACTGTAGGGCGCGTGCACTCGCCAGACAGACAGAGAGAGACGTAGAGACAGAAAGCGAAAAATCACCCCCCAGGGGGGATGGTCACGCCGCAATCCCTTCTCCCCCATTCTCCTCTCGGGATCTTGGGCACGCATGCACACGCGCCCTGCGTGAGTTTTAAGCCACCGGGTCCGGGACACGAACCGCGGTCGACTACGTGGGAGTCCAGCGACATAGCCATTACGCTAACTGCTGGTTCCCTTTGGTTCTTTTATTAAAATATATCCTCTACTTTCTTTGACTCTTATTAGTCATAAGGTTATTTAACCTTCTGTGTGTATTTTTCAACCCAGAATCGTAAGCATTCATTGCTGTATTGTATTGTAATACAAATATATAGAATATATAGAATTACTGCTCCATAGCCATATAACCTTGTTCCATAGTTTGTGTTTCATCTTTGGTGTCACCTCTCCTTTTCTGCTGTTATGCTCGTGCCCACTTTTTATAGCTTTTTTAGACTTCTTAATTTTCTTCTTTAATTTGCTGATATGGGAAATTGGTCACTGAGTTTGTTGAGCTTAAAATAAGAACCACTAACATCAGGGTAGGGACCTTGCAGCCTCTTCTACAAGTAAAGTGCACTTCAGTGCATGGTCTTCAACATGTATTTCGACAGCTCCCGAACTCCTGCTTAATTCTCATTGGGTTCTGTGGGTACTTGATGTCACCAGATAACTAACGTCCTGATAACGTGAAGTGTAACTGTGTTGGGATTTTGCGTGTGTTGACTCCTCTTCACTGATGCCCTTGATAGGGATTGTCACAAATCAGAACAGTGTTGGTTGAACCCATCAAGGTGCTGAGTGTTCGGACATGAACATTTATCATGGTTGAGACTTTCACACCTCCAACAGGAACAGTAGTGAAAATGAGATGGGATTATTGAAGCCTGAATCCTATTTGAGATGGTCCCAGTTCTGGCAGTGAATTTGTAAATAAATAAGTAAATTCCTTAAAAATTTTGGTAAGCCCCAAGAGTTACTTTATGGCATTGATTGATTGATTGGTTACTTTGGAATGTACCTGTATAACATTTTATTAGTTGCAAGAAAAAAGCTGTTGATTTTATTGATTTTACTTTTAAATGAACTGTGCATATTATGATTTTTTAAAGATTAAATCAGCAAGGTTTTAATGAGCAGCTGTTATGTGCCACTTCTGTATTTAATGTTGGTGATAGGTGGATAGAAGATAGTCTATGCTTTCAGGAAATTAATTGAATTGCGGGGTATACAGAAGCAAACCAATAAACCTAAGCTCTTTTAACTGTGTTCTATGGAGATGGGGGAGAAGACTGGTTGTTCCGTCTGCTTGTGTCGGAGAAGGTTTCCCAGAGGATCTAACAATTGAACCAAGTTGTAAAATGTGGATATGAAGAGTCCTATGTGCGGAAAATGAGTGCTGGCAGAAGGGAGAGTAGACTGGCTCCTCCGTAAACCCCAGTAGCCTAGCTGACTTAAGCTGGGCTTAAGATGGGAGAGTAGGGAGATGGACAGGACCAGTTTTTCAAGGAATTTATATGCATTTTTAAAAAGGGGGGGAGGGGACTTTATTCTAAAGGTGGCAAAGAACTATTGGAATACTGTTACATGGATCAAATTCATGTTTCAGTGAGATCATTCTGGCAGAGATGTGAAACATATATTGGAAGAACGATGGTGGAGTTAGGGAGATCAATAAGAAAACTGCTAGAAAGACATGATGAGAATGTGAATTAAGCCTGAGGGTGGGGAAAGAAAAGACTTTCATTAGCAATTTAGGAGGTGGAAGAAGACAGGTCTTGGTGACAGAGTAGTGGTACGTGGTGAGGTGGAGGGAAACATTTTAAATAATTTCATTTCAGATGTGAATGACTAGATAGTTTGATTATGTTGCAGAAGTGGAGAAGGGGGATTATTATTGTTATTATTTGTTTGCTTCAAAAACAAAAATTAAGGTACCCAGATTTAGATCAGTTTGGGCCTCTCATTCTTGTTCATGGTCATAATACTTCTG